CATTAATTACAACTGTTTACCATTCAGTTCGTGCAAGACTTTTCTATGGTCAGCGACGTCGGAAGTATGGGTTTTTTTACACAAGGGGGGCCTCACCCCCTCTAAGAATGAGTAGATAAATCACTCAAAAGCGACTAACACATTTTCTACTGCATGTGCATGCAGAAATTACAAAAAGTGTATAGAAGTGGAGGATATATTGAAAGAATTTGCCAGCAAAACTGCGGAAAGGCGGAAAATTTTTGGATATATTTAATTTTTTATACTTGCTTTTCTGTACAATGCTCAATAGTGCAATAAATATGAACAACATTTTTGTAACTTTTGTATGTACCTACTAGTTCTTCATTATTTTTTAAATAAAATATTAATGATCTATGGCTATGGTTCTTTCAATCGAGTCAAGTATCTCCGAGTTGCTCAGTTGCATATAACTAAACATCCTCCGACACTTTTTTACATTTTTTCAAAACCTTTCTTTCAAAAACACATTATTTGATTGATTACATGACATTCAAAATGAGCATAGCTTGCCATATTTGTTTAATTCATTTAATAGCGGAATTATGTTGTTTGTGTCAAATTCACTTGGTTCTCCTTTTTTACTGTGCACCGCATTACATAATACTAATGAACGATTTGAACATGATGCAGGGACACACAGTATTAACAAGAATTTAAGTCACGCTTACTCGTAAAAACTGGTACAAATGTAGAGTTTGTTTTGCAGACGTGCTGTATATTGAATTTCTAAGTACCTCTAGGTAATATGAGGGGAATTCGTACCTGTAGCCTCTGAAAAATCAAAGACGTACACAAATTTAATGGTAAATTACAACATTATTCATGCACCTGGCGGATAATTTTGTTGTGCTTGTCGCTTATGTAATCTGTGTGTTGGAAGAAGAATCTGCATAATATAGCGTATTGAATACGTATGTAACGAAAAAATTGCAATCGTATGATCTAATAATAATATTTTTAAATTTTATCCACAAATATAATTTGCACAATCTAATTTCCTTAACCTGCAGCGATAATCCAAACCGCAAGCGAATTTACTGCATTACATGTTAAGAAACGGGACGGGAACAAATGCACGTATACAGATTAGTTACCTTTAATTAATAAATTCCCCAAATTCAAAAAGTTTAACGTAATTGACTATACCGCAATATTTGGTTAGGAAAAATCCTTATATCTGAAGAAGTAGTCACGTCGAAGAACTATATATATAAAGAAAATTCTGTAATGTTTTTAGTTTCTGAATATTTATGTCAATTAAATTATCGATAATCAAGCGACTATACATTAGTCTAAACGCGTGGCTTAGTTTTTCTTATACAATTGAAATTCGTTAGTCGCTATATGTGCAGTGTCGTTTAATAATTATTACCTACACTTTGCTACCGATTGGCGTTTACGGCGACTTTCACGCAAAAATGCAAGTAAATCAATATAATGACAAATTAATATCAATCACAATTACGTCTTCAAAATTCCGGTGAAAGTCTATTTACTGAACGTCCCTACATTTTTAATTTATTTTGGGGACCTTTACCCGGTCTGTTAAAGTGATCTGACAATTTACTGTTTACTGTAGAACAACGCGAAGAGAGTAGTTGGTGTTGTTCGAAATGGAAATTAAGAATCTACCGTTCTGCTTGAGGAATAACGCAGATCGAAATGCAACCATGTACGACAGGTTATTTACGAGATCAATTAAGCAGGTAAAGTTGTTCAAAATTGTTAAAGTACGCTAAAATTAGGATTTACGCACTAATGTACATTAAATGCCGCCAGTGTCATCGAGAGTGTTTATTTTCATTTGGTATGCTCTTGAAGTATATAAAATATACATCCGCGTTTAGGATATAACGTTTTTGTCGAGGTTTTTGTCCATATTTTGCAATAAAAGTAATTCACCAGTTTATAAAAAATCTCAACAACAAAGCCTTATAGTACTGGTTTAGGTACGGTATAATTTAAATACAAGTACACCATTCACAATTTACGTTATAATACGTTAAATTAAATAAGGCGTGATATTGTTCACGGCGTTAATTAGTTGTCGGTAAAATTATCGAAAGAACTACAACTAATCTATGGTAATAGAAATTTATTTTTTTGCCAGCGTAAATATTTTACAGATTATTTCTGAGCGGCTGATATTTACACACGTAGTTCTGTTGTATGTTTGCGTGCTCGAGTGCAGTGTAATTGGTGTTTGTGTAACACAGAATCCAAAATATTACAATGGTTTGTGTTATAGTTAAAGTTATACGGTGCAGAGAGTTGGTTTACACTATTATGCGTCTTTATATTATATCAGAACTTTTTTTTCTACCACTTGCACACTAACTTTTTCCAAAGCTCAGCATCTTGATACATTTTTGATAATGGTTTAAGGTTCCATTACAATCGTTTAATAAAAGGGTACATTCTGGAAAATCGGAGTGCAAGTTTCATCACTTTCTGTTAAACGTAGCTTCCTTGGAAACAATTTTAATCATAATCGCCCCCATGTAAGTTATCCGTTAATAAAACAGAAGGCGAGAAGACTGCATTTATACAGAATCGAAAAACATGGCAGGGGCGACATCTAAACCTTCCCCATATGTTTAAATGAAAACACTATTTTGTGTTTGAACCGAAACGGGGGAGGGGGGGGGTCAACTTATGTATCTAGTAATTGATTGAAGACAGACTTTTTCCAGCTCATCGTAAGGCGCTAGAATAAGCTCAATTTTCCAATATGATATGATAAGTAAAGCAATGAATTTATGCAAAATGCATATATTATCTTTGGTTGTACTCGTATGAGATTTTGCATATTTTAAGATGTATTTAAATTTTTGCTAGTTTTAATCGATTTTAATTTGAATTTTTAGTAAATATTTTATGCGGATTCTCATAACATACTGCGATAGCGGAAAGGAACATTTATTGATTTAATTGATTTTTTATTTTCTTTATTTTCTCTTTCTCTGCGGTGTTGATAGGTGGTATTGTAGAAGGTTTGGAAATTGCTCCCAATACTTGGTCTCACAGTGATGTTAACGCTTTATAATTGAAGTTAATAATATACAGGGTGAACATTATGTCTCGAACACTGACCATATTTTCAAAACAAGATCTTTCTAAAAATACTTTTTATGGTATCCAAAATTATAAAATGGGTACTACCAATTTACATACTTCAAATGTGTAGTCAGTGGCGTACTTCTGTATGGCGAAAGAGGGAAAACTGTTGTTTATGGTAACTACTAGTTTTTGTCGTATATTCTTAAAGAGGACACTTTTTTAATATAGCGACAGCAACATAAAGAACTTATATTACATAATCATCTTTAACAACAATTTACTCATATAGTTAATAATGAAGAAAGGAAATCATAAAATTAAGTTTTTTTCTGGTATATCCAAAAAAATTGTACTCTTTAATAATATGTAATGAAAACTGGTAGTTGTCGTTAAAAAATGTACCCCTCTCGACTATGCAAAAGTACGCCACTAACCACAAATTAAAAGTCCGTCGATGGGTAGCAATTTTTTATAATTTTGGATACCATAAAAAGCTTCTTTAAACAATTGTTGTTTTGAAGATCCACTGTACCAGACCAAATGTTCACCCTGTATACACAACTAAAATTACCTTGCTATATTATGGCATTACTAAAAAAATAGCTATAGGATCGATCCAGAATATCAATGAAATTCCGTTAGTGCTTGTTCACAATGGACATAAGCGTTACAAAAACATAACAGATACATAAAACATAATATTGACATAAGACATAATTTTACGCAGGTGGAGAAAGTGTTCACAGTGACCGTAAGATTATAATTATCTGCGTAGGCGCACATCCAAAATTTAAACTCGGCAAAACGTCAAGAACATAGCAATATTATTTGTGGTGTATATGTGTGTGTCACTGAGATGGATGGAAATTTCAACAGTTTTATTGCTTTTACTGTTAAGAAGACAGAGAGACAAAGTTGTTACAAAACAAAAACGGCGTTGGTGGGTCAGACCTATAAATCGATACCGAGAGAAAAGGGGAGAATTTAAGAATTTAAGCGTGTCTAGAAATGAAGCTGCATGATGAAGAATGGTTTTTTTCATACACCAGGATTATTCGATCACCTTAATAGGTCTTTTGTCCCCTTTATTAAACAATTAGGGTTTTAATCGCACCAAACTAATCAGTAATTCGACGTCTATATGTTTCCATGCCGTGTTGGATATAATCAAAGAACAACACACGAAGGACCAAACAACACCAAACTATGAAATAATGCGCCAAAAACTATGTACCAATTTAAAAATAACCAGATTATGTTGGCAGAAGAGATGTCATCGACGTTAGACGTAGTAACTGATATGTCAAACCAACAGCGCAGTGCTGCATCTTTGTACCCAACAGAAATACACCTAATTCCACTAGATTTTTCATAAAACCTACGTAAAGTTGAAACCGACCCAACTTTATGTATTTTTTATGTACCCTTTCGGTAGGACATAAAACATACGCAAACATTTACAAAAAAATAAAAATTATGTAATCATTGTGAACACATACGTTGGTTTGCTACTATTCAACATTATGAATTATGTATCTGTTATGTTTTTGTTACGCTTATGTCCATTGTGAACAAGCACTTAGTCACATGACTTCGCACCAACAGTATAGACTTAACTAAAAATGACAAAATCTATATTAAGATAATATTGCAACGCTTTTGGTTTTCGTGCGAATGTGCCAATTAATTAATTACCGATAATAAAACGGTAGATTAACCTTAACTCGTAGATTAGATTTTCTAATGCTATTGAGATTTATGGTATCCAAAGTGTCGGTTAGTGCATTGGCGTTACCTTCACCTTCATGTAAAAAATGTAAGTAAATCAATATGACAATTTAAAATAATTCAAAGAAGAAGTTTATTTATTAAATAGATATACATTTTTTCATTTATTTGGACTACTAATAGATCTGGAAAAGTGATCTAATAATTTACTGTTTACTGTATAGAAATCATCTCAGAGTGTGGCTACAAGTGCAGCGAAATGACAAAAAAGGTGCTACCGCGGTGCTTACGGAACACTGCAGATCGCCAAGCAACTACCTACGACAGGTTAAATGAGACGCCAATGAAACAGGTAGAATTATTAAAATTTTTACTGGCGAAGTATTGGCTAAAATAAATTAATTTTAACGCGCGTAATGTGCACTAATGCCGTTAGCGTCATCAAGAATATTTTTATCCTCTTTTCGGATTTTACGTTTTTCTGCATGAATTTTGCAATGATATCAACAACAGGCATGTCTTCCTCCATGGGATAAAGATGGCTTATTATTACCATTTTACAGGCTTATGTATAAGGTATAATTTAAATATAAATATCATTGTATATAATTGTATTTAAATATAAATATCATTGTATATAAGATATATTGATATAATATACAATGATAATATGTTACACCAAAGAGTAACGAAGTTACACTATAATAAGGGGTGATATTATTCACGCCATTAATTATTGTACATGCCTTTAAATAGTATTTTACATTATTAGCCAGGTAAGTGAGTTTTTACTGGCGATAGGAGAAGTTGACTGGCGAGCCGTTAGGCGAGCCTGTCATCTCCTAGAACCAGTAAAAACTATTACCTGGCGTATAATGTACAATATTTTATTTGTTACTCATTTGTAAACGTAAATAATTAGTTCTTAAATTGATCTCGAAGAAATGTCTAAAATATCATGTTATCCATGTAACAGAGACTTCGCATTAATTCTGGCCAATGAAATTACTAGATTACTAACTTGTAAAATTTTTACAGGTCAGCTGTCAGTTTTACAAGTCAGTTGTCAGTTTTACAAGTCAGTAGCGTTTAAACATGACGTTTATCCGTTTGCGTTTTGTCTTGTTAATCTAACGTTTGCAACTGAGTAACAAATAAACGTATTTACCGAAAGAATGCAAATGTTTAATTTATCTTCCGGTCAACGTAAATAGTTGACAGATCATTTCTAGGCGGCTGTAATTTACACACGTTCTGCTGTTATATTATGCTTATGCAGAAATTTGCGCTCGAGTAGAGTATATAATTGGTGTTTGTCTGTTTGCACTATGCTGTTTGTTAACACGGAATCCAAAATATTCCATTGTTACAACTGGGGAAAATTCGAATCGCTTAGACTTCCAACCTGTCCGAGGAATCGAAAGGTCCAGAAGGATTCTTAGTCAAATATGCGTGATTCAAATCCATTATTTAAGGATTCCGTCGAGATTTAAAGGTAATTAAGAAATACCCTATTGGGGGACTCTCAGAGCCATGATATCAAATCCGCACCCGAAAATTTACATGTGTACACTGCGTTTATGGAAATACGTCGACAAACAAAAAGCGTTTCGTAGTCATAATTCCTTTACCATAAAAGATATCGGACAGAATGTAGGAGCAACATGTCTTTATGTTTCTAAAATATTTCTGGTCCCCAGTAGCGTGTTATATTCCAGTGGCGTACTAAACTTACTCTGTTTAAATGGAATTAATTGGAGAATTGGAAAATACTTAAAAAAGTGCTTATTTTTTAATGTAACATATTATATTATACACTTAATTTTAATGATTTCACTGTTATAATTTTCTTCCTCAATATTTGGCTGTTTCATGGAAACTAACTGGCGCCGGCGGCGTGGCGATTCCATTTCCGCAGCTGTAATTCGCACATTTAGAAGTCCAAAAAAAGTTATTACAAAAAATGTGAGGAATTTTGTTTTCTTTGCATTTTATTTGAACCTTATTTTCGTAAGATCAACTGGCGCTGCGGAATTATTTTGAAAAACCGATTTTTTGTACCTAGATGGCTGCACGAGCGGTCCTCCGCCCTAAAGTCGAAAGTAAAAAAAGGAAAAGTGGTTAAAACAGCGAAAACGCTAAAGTTAAGGGCATAATATGTTCCATAAAAAATAAGTACTCTTTCAGTGCTTCCCAATTCTTCGATACAAAATGGAGTGTAAAATAAAAATAAAAAAGTGTAATACACCACGGGTGACCAGCAATATTTTACAAGCATAGCGACGGTAATTGTGCACAGTTTTTTTCGATATCGTTTATGGGCTATGGCAACGAAATTATGGTTCAAGGGGTCTTAAATGCTACAGCTCCTCTCCCGTACGTACTACTGACATATTTTTTCGTATTTTATGATAGAATTTACACACTTGATGCAGTCAAGTAATCAATAGCTAACAAAAAAAATCTTGCCACCATGTAACACTAACAATTAACCTTTGGATACTATACACTCCACAATCAATCTAAAATAATTTTGTACCCGATCTAATGCGTCGCGACGGCGCCATTATGTTACCGTATTAAAACTTTAGCGTCTACATGGGTCATGCAACACGATAACCCACGGATAGAGTACCATTTTTTTAAATTTCTCATATGTTTTACAAATAATTTTTAGCACCTGCTTTAAATACGAAACTATAACCGTTAAGATTAATTAAATAAACAAGTAAAAAAAGGAATGCTTTGTCTCTCAAGCTGGGGGACCGCCAGAGCGTTCCCAATTTTTTTATACATAGTTTAACCCTAAAACAATCTTTTCCAATAATTTTTGCAAATCAACGGACTGTGGAATTTTTTTAGTTAACTAACAAATGGAATAGCTTCCGAGATATAACAAGAAAGTTAACTCTATAATCGGCCCTTGGCACTCGAATTAATAAAAATCATTCATTTTGGTGAAATAGAAGCATAAAAAAGTTCACGCTTTAAAGAATCGATAGGTGCGACCCGACTTGCAAAATCATTTTTGGTTGTTTCGAAAACTGGCTTCAAAGTCAAAAGCTGATTTCTCGTGAACTGTTAATCGGATTTGGACGTATTTTTTTTAATGCACGTCTTTCCGAGAGCTTTCCATTCGCCTATTATAGAGTTATATTTTTTGTTATATTGGGGGAGTTATTCCATTTGTTAACTAAGAAAGTTCTTCGAATTCCGAAAAAAAAATCTACAGTCCATCGATTTGCAAGAATCATCGGAACAATTATTGGAAAAGATTGTTTTGGAGTTAAACTATGTATAAAAAAATTGGGAACGCTCTTGGAGTCCCCAATGTGAAAAACAAAGCGTCCCTTTTTTTACTTGCTTATTTAATTAATCAATTACTATGAAACCTACGGTGATCGGGTTGGTCATATTGTATTGTCCAAGGTCCATTTCTTCGACATTTTACTTAGAAAAGGAGAATCATTTTAAATTTAAAATTCCGGGTTAATACATAGTTGGGATGGAACCTGATAGGATTTCCAATTGGTGAGAAATTTGTTTTGTAAAAAAAATTCTGTATCAAGAGGTTAACCCTGCATGCTTGGCTCTTCTTTGTTAGCTATAAACATTTGAATTTCGCCGTATTTTTAAACAATATTGCCTGTGTATGGCATCACAATTTAAACCACGGCAATAATTGCCATCTACATCAAAAATACGAGTAGATAAAACTTTTTCTTTGTACCTGTATGGGGCGCTAAAGGCAGTGGCGTAACTATGTAGGTGCCAAACGTACCGCGGCATCGCGCTTTGAAGGCCAGCGGGCGCGCCGGAGGCTCTGAAGCACCGAGGGCACTTAGTCGGGATGGGCAGTACGTGGTGTACCGTATAGGCCAGTCATAAAAGACAAGAACGGCAATTAAATTCTAATAGTTTGTAAAGTCGATTATACAGGGTGCACTGAAATATAATTAAAACTAAATTTACGGTGCTTTGGGTGAACGGAACATTGTTAAAAAATGAAAAAAATTATAGTCTTAGTGTGAGATCCAAGCGATGTCAGCGCATTTTGTGTGGCAGATCAGTACTTTTATTAGTCACACTTAATAAGATTTTGTCGTGGGCTACCATATTCCCTTTGTCGGTACCCACCTCCGACATCCCGTTCGCCCGGAATTCGCGTTTGAAGTTTGGACTCCACCGTTAGTAAGATCTTGTCGAGGGCTACCACATTCCCTTTGTCGGTACCCACTTGTGACGCACCCATAGACGGCGGATGTATACCTACAAAGTTTGAATCAAAACACTTGTACCACTTAAGTGCCTCAATATGAATGGCGACTATGTTGAAAAACAGCCTAAGAGTGTAGCTTCCAAATGTATATAATAAAAGTTGTTTCTTACACTTTCTTAATTTTTTATTTCAAAACGTCTGTTACTTTCTAGATATCCCTTGTAGAACAAAGTTACAGCGGTAGAAAAAGGCTGCAGATTTAAACTAATAATAATAATAATAATATTTTATTTGTGATACAATAGTCTGTATTAATGTGCTCAGCATTTGCACCCCTATACTAAGACTTGTACCCCACGCCATAGCTAAATTTGCCGCGAGAATTGAAAACATTATAAATAAATGTATTTCTATTCTTCGTTGAGTGAAAGACTTCATTATTCAAAGCATTTTTCTAAAATTTAAGTCGAGATTTAAGTATTGCAGTGCTTTTAAAATTTCGTGTAAAGTTTCTCTCGAAAATGTACAGTGTTTTATTAATTACAGCTCAATGATAAGTGATAAGGCGCCAAAATCTGGTAGGGCGCCAAAACCTGATCCGGCACCGCTTCGAAAAATACCTAGTTACGCCACTGGCTAAAGGCATCCCGGGGACCATTTGAAATACACACGTCCAATTGTACTCGTATAAGTATGTAAAATTGACTGTGATAGAATGCAGTGATTTATTGTAGCATAAACGTTAATTTTCGCTAATCTGAAAATAAATGGCGCCGTATTAATCATCCACCATCAATGTCAAAGCAATAAAAACGAAAATGGTAATGCAGCTATCAAATTTACTGAACAGTGTATAGGCCAACCCGCATCCCCCACTATCCTAAAGGAATTTCGATGTTATTTTTTACATAAAAAGCATAGTATTCGTAAAGAATAAAGCAGAATTTAGTAAGTATTGGTCGTTTACTTACCACTCTCTATTTAAGGGCTATTAAATTAAGAGCAGAATTTCAGTGTCAAACCGTAACTTCGAAAGATTATACATAGTGCTTGATGCGAAAATGTTGCAAAGTTAAGTGGTAATAGCTAGTAAAAGTTCACTTTCCTTTATTGTTGAATATTATAAGTTGTTAAAATCTGATGGTTTCACCTCAAAGGCTGATAAATTGTTAACAATTATGTAGCGTTTACTTTGGACGGTGAAACAAATGGGGTGACATTTATAACCCTTGGAGCAAGACCAATTAATTATCTCATGAGCAAAATCGTCATTTAAAATGTCTAATTTAATCATTTATATCAGTTCGGTCATGTTGAAACTAGTACCTATAGTTGCGTCGTTTTGATGGATGATAATACTTTTAGGTATGTCATATACATCTGATGCACGATTTAGACAATACTATTATCATTCACCTTGTTTTAGCTGTACCCACACTTTGTCCTCACCCGATGTGGACCACAATTTCTTCCTGTAATTGTCTATTATATCTGTTAATTTACCCAAATTTTAAAAAGCGCCATCTGCGCTGAATCATGATAAATTATAAGCGTTATGCGTATGTTACCGAGGCTGTAAAGTCTTTGAATTTCAAACACAGTTTTGTGTTGCGCGAAATTAAGTGCAGCTAATAAGATACAGAAGTTAGACGCGCAGAAATCTCGGTTCGCATAAGAGGATTAAAATGCATATTTCAGTACGCTGGAGTAAAGTTGTTTGATTTATGTTAATTTGGCTCTAAATTTTGATTACGTATGCCCCTACATCTTGTGTGGTTTACTTTGGGAAGGCTCGTTCGTCACAAGCTCTGGGCGAACCTCAACATATCTACAGTTTTAAAAGTTAATGTGCTCATAAACCTTTCTAATTAAATAAACTAATCTTCTATACGTCGAAAAGAGCTAGTGAGTTAATTAGAAGGGTTTAAATCTAATTCTTTATTACTTCATCCGCCACTTAATTGCCCTTTATTTAAAATCCTCCATTCTCTTTTTTGGTGAGCGTGTCAGGTGCCGTTCTGTTACTTAAATGCAATTCAACAGCTTTTAAATTATTGAACGCGCTTCACCGCCGTCAGTGTCACAGGCAGCATTCAGAGAAGATAAACAAGTCAACTCATTCGTCTTTCCACGCTGAGTGACTGAAAAAACTGAAACGTCCTCATAGCAGAAATCCCAGCTTACCTGCGCTTTTAATTACGTGTCGGGACAGAACGTCATTCAAAATTTAGCCTGTGTTTTTACATATCAATTTCCACTGATTTAACCCTATACAAGCTCGCTGATTACTTTTATAATTAATTTACGCAGAAGGTATGCAAAAGTTCAGGGATGAATTAACGCTAAATCATTTCAGTTGCCGCAGGCCTTAAAATTTCGAAATCGCTCTGCATATTTCACTTTTTTTCCTATTTTAAGTTAAACATGTGGGTGGGCTTGCGACAAATAGAAAAAGTATTTCCATAAAGGGTTTTGGGTTCGCCGAACACGTATACGGGAAACCCTCGTTCAAATAGAAGTGAAAATCTACTCTTTGTGCGGAACGTATTACGTAAAACTGTTAAAAAGGCAGATTATTGGAAATTATTGGAAAGTTTGTTGGACAGTTGTGATTTTGTGTGGGGAAGTGGTTCTAAGGTTAGAAAATACTGATGCAATTAGGGCATAAATTTATCTACACTTTTCGCCGCACAACGTGATCGTATAGGACAATGTGTTCGTACATATCGGTATTAATTCGGATTCTTGTGGTTCCAATTCCTGGGTTCGCAGCGGGATCGGCGCACACAACTTTTCTATCGAAGCGATTTTGAAACGTAAGTCCCTTTTCTGGATCAATGACGACCTGTGTAAAAAGAAATTAATTAAGTTTGATAGTTAATTATAAACACGTCGATACAACTGCTCCCTTTTTTTATGTACTGAGTAAGTTGGAGTGTTGTTACTGTTAGTTAGGTTCGAAGTTATTAAACTTGACCATTCATTTTAAAACACCCTGTAAAAGGGCGATCAAAATTTAAATCATTTGCATGTAGCATCTCGTCAGTATTGTTGAATGTGGAAGACTGAGTCATAAGTACAGGGCGCTAAAGAAAAGCAGCCAAATGTCAAAAATTTTGAAAAATCTTTGAAAACCTTTGATGCTAGGTAAATTCTATCAAACGACATAGATTTTCCTGTAGATTTCGAAAATGCAATGAAATATTTAGGGTGTTCTATTTAAAATAGAAAGTTGCTATCCAATCGGGTAAAAATCATGATAATATTTTCTTTCGATAGATCATGAAAAACTATGTTGGTATGCAAATTTTCAGATTTAAATTATTAATGGAAATCTACTTTTAGGTAACGGTTTGCGTGAAACAGCCTGTATACGGTATCGTATGTTTATTTCATGTGCTTTACTATTCTGAATGCATGAAATTTGGATAAGAAAAATAGATTTGACATTTTAAAATTAATTTATTAGTTCAACATTCAATAGAAAAAGTTATCCAAATTCATGTGTCCATCCTGTTTACGTGTAAAATAAATTTTTCTTGTAAAAGAACGGTTATCATGGCGCTTTTTGCTCTTCATTAATGCAAAATATCTTGTCCAAGTTTTTTTGCAATATGATTACTTAGAATTTCCCAAGGAAAATTTGTAAAAAGGAAATGTAAAAAGAATTCTAACAAATCTTGACACCGCTCTTTCGATTTTCATTAAAAAAAGAGTTGGGCTCAGTCACCACACTGAAGCAGCTCTTAGCGAATAAAGTGCTTATGAGTCAAAGTGGACCAAACTGAGTCGCTTCGGATTTTTGTACTAAGACACGCCTGTTAGTATTTTCACGCGCGTTTTTTGCATTAAACATTTTGTATACAAGGTAAGAATTCCTTAAATAAAACACCCCGTATATTATGACAATTTAGAATTCTACGATACATTTTAAATACTTTTCGTATCACATACTATGCGACATACTACACGAAATAACTTATCTGCCTACAGATTGTTGAAAATGTAGAATTAGAAACAATTGTTCGTATTTAAAAGTGTTCTGAAGTGACAAGAGATATTGGACATGGACTGTAATAAGTCGGAAGTTTCGTATGTTTCATTGGTCTATTGGCTATTAGGTACCTATGTCATATTTGGAAAATTTCTTACTTATTACAATCTTGTTTATTTGTGTATATATTTTAGCGTATTTAGTACAAGGCATTAGATTATTTTAGGTCATATTTTGAAAACCTTCAGACGTCTCGGGTTTATGCCATCATGTTATACGGGAAGTATTCAAAATTCAGAATTTGCTACAATACACAAGGTGTTTCATATAAAAAACTAATGTGAAGGTCACACTACATACTTGAGGCACCTTGTATGTAATACTTTTAATGTGAAAAAGCGTATCCTACAATAACATAATCAAAGCCGGAATTATAAATAAACTTGTTCCTTCCATCGTGTAGTGTAGGCGCTAACGAAACCAATTAATTCTACAGTGGTTTTGAATGCATTATCTTTTTCAGATGTGTTATAATAAGAAAAAGGTGAGGAAGCTTTTACACGAGTCAGAAATGTCTAAGTTTGCAAATTGGACGGCTTATCGGAAAGTGGAAATACGACTATTCAGAAAATTACAGTTTGGTTGGAAAAGAATGGATACGTTTAAAGAAAAATGCACGTTATATCTGTGTATTTCCGCAATTTTCAATTTGTTGCATATTGTGCTTTGTAGCTACGACATAAATTTGTTGTTTGACCTATTTCGTTATTTAGATTATACTAATTCGATCATAAATACATACAATTACGTACATATACGTGGATGCATCAAACTTATGAGTGGATTAAGTTGGCACCCCTGAATCGACAATACTTTTCCATATATATAGCTTAAATATTATACTCGTTTTATGCCATCGGTTTGTGTTGATTTGGCGAAGTGGATTCTGAGGTTCCAACTTGACCCATCTCACATCACACGTGATGAAGTGGTCCAGATAGATAGATAGTGATTAATTCATAATTAAGCAAATTCCAAATAACAAACTCGTAGTCGTTCTAACTTTAGATGCCATATTTGTAATAACATGTGGGTATAACGTATTTGAAATGTAAACCAGTCTTTGTAAGGAAAACAAGTCGCCGTTGACGGTTACGAAGTCATACATTCTTTTAATGCATACTATTAACAACACTAACAGAAATAAATACTTAACTTCGAGCGTGGCCGATAGCTTAATATGGAGTCGAAAGGAAGGGTTAGTTTTTAACTTGCAGAGAAAGGGTTCGGGTGGGTAGTCAAGGACCTCCTTTGACAGAGGAAAGATGTGGGCAATTTGGTCGTATTACTAAAAATGTACCTATACAAAGTGCGAAGTACTATCGGAATTCTGCACTACAAGGCAAATTCTTTTCAATTAATATTCATTAATTACGAGATATAATATTTGCAAGTAATCTTTATAATCATAATAAAATGTTGTCGGTGGGGCGCAATTAAAGTCCACACATAATTAATCAAGACGTTGCAATATTACGTTGCACTTTATTGGCATTAATTAAAATTAGGACGTTCGGGTGTCAATTATTGGTCCTTGAATTTAAGTCATCAAAACATGTGAACTGCTAACGTGATTTCAGATAAAAAAAACTTATCTGCTTGTAATTAACGTTATTTTAATTTTATTACTTTGTAATTCATAGAGTTCTTTTAATTAATTTTGAACTGCATTCGGGCCATTGTAAAGGTTAGTTACAGTTAACAGGCGGCCAGAAGCAGCCTCGACTTTGGTTCGGTGAACCACAGAACTACTGCAACTGCACGTACGGCCAAACAATGAGCCTTCAAATTTTGGTTCTGTAAAATGCAGTACATTACATCCCCCTAATATCAGTTTCGCGTTCCCGTCGATTTTCGGTCTCGAGTACTGTTATTTATCGCTCGCTCCTAGTAGACCGCAAGCTTAAGGGCCCAGTCAAAGAAAAAAGTGAGTATAAACTCGACCCGGCTTCACCGTTTACCGGGAAAAATAAAATGGCATATAACGCCAATCAAATCTGACCCAAAAGGGTGGAGGGCCGAGAGACGTTGCCGTCGGTTCAGCCGTCGGGTCTATTTGTAGAGATGGTGCAAGTACTGTAGAAAATGCTTAATCGGAATCCATCTAAATAAGTGGCAGAAAATTTGGAACAATGGTCCAAGTTCGAATAATTTACAATCTGACAAAAGCTTGTCATGTGACTATTTTGGAACGCTTGTACGCTTTCTAATTGCCGAGGGAAATTGTTTCTTCTATGGCGCATTTATTGCAAAATGTTTGTGTGGATTATGGAAATGAAAAAGGGTTTATTTCCAAAATATTGGTTAAGGAATAAACTTAATTAGCTCTTACGATGTCTTTAATTACTGTGTCTCTATGTTACTTCAAATAAAAGAACTGACAGACCACCACCTCTAAAATTGTTACTTAAAATATTACAAGACATAACGTAGGGTCCTAACGCCATCGTCTGCGAGGTCCAAGTCTGAAGAAGGTGCGTGGTATAATAAAAAAGTCACAAAATGATTTTTATCTTTGCAATTAAAACATGTTTGAAAACAAACTTATAATCACGCACGATGAAAGATCTCGTTTTTCAGTTTTTCTGAGCTACAGCTAACTAGAGTCGTTTTCCCGCTAAATCGTTCAGAGTTAAAAACACTCATGATAGTTCATGTGCTGGGGGGTATTTAACCCCCCTACCCCCGGTACTACGTTTTCCCGCAAAATTGTTCAGCCTTAAAGCCACTCGTGATAGTGTACGTGTACTTTAGCTCTAATGTCAGTCTAAACTTCAGTTTATAGTTAAATTGTGGGTTAAAGGATTTGATTGGCTAATATTTCACAAGTTGGCCAATCGTATTTCTGAAATCTGTCAGTTAAACCAACCTGAAGTTTAAACTGACATTGTACAACCGGGCCTTAGTCTGTTAAATGGAACACAATTTATATTCCTGATGTGATTGCACAAAGAGAAATAAAAAACTGCTCAATAAAAAATGCATCCTGCATAAATTTGCAAACAGCTTTATTTAACACACGCATGGAAAATTGGAGTCATGCACTCCAAATTACAAAATACTGCATCGCGAAATGAAGAAGAAGAAATTATAAGTTGTATTGTTCTTGAAAACAGAGTTAATTAAGTAAGTAAGTACCGAAAGCTAGTAGAAAACGATTTCACTATTTTCATTCACGAAGAGATCTACCAAATATCCAGAGCTTTAGAGGGAAAACTATAACTTATGGATTGAACAAAAAGGTCCCGTTTAACACTTCCGAGATAGGTATAATGATGGGCAGTGAAAAGGGAACGATAAAGTGCATTTTGCAGGAACTAATTAAATATGGAGTATTGATTGATTACATGTCACTGTCCTCAAAAGTGATTGGTTGCATTTAACAAAAGCGCAACGCTAAATATTTATTTTTCATTTTGAAAATATTTCCTCAACGAATAGCGATCGACGTGACAACCACAGCAGCTGCTTTAAATAATAATTATAGATGATTGATGTCAACGTTGGTAATTTCTTCTTTGAGATGGCTCTTATTATCCTTGTTAAGGTAAACATCTATTACAAATTTGATCCCTGTAAACCCAAATTAAGGTACAGCTTAATTCGTTTACATTTTACGAGATTTGGGAAACGGCATGTAATTGACGTCGGGTGATTATTAATTTGTTTTTTAATTTGAAATTGGAATTCCCGCTGATCACTCCAAACGTAAGATTGGATTAAGCTGTCATTACGCTCCGGTATATACTACGCCATTTGATTGATTGATGGAAATCGGGGGTGATTATTCC